GGTATACTTTTTTTCGAATTCTTGTGCTGATTTTTGGCAATGTGTTTAGGGTACCAATCAAGGTAGTTAGAGGCAAGTAATGACCACGACGACTATGCACGGAGTTGGTTTTAATGAGGAAAGTTTTGTGACAAGATCTGCTAGGAGATACCAGCAGGTGCTCGCCTGACGACCTTCTTGCCAACTCACATCACATGACAATTGACAGGTGATTAAAACGCCATTGATCTTCACACGTAAGAAGTTCCGTAGGCATTTGTTTGTCTAAAGGCACATTGATCATAAGAAGAAAACAGTCTAAGTCTGGTAAACATGAACACCACCTTAAGACCGTACGTGCCCAACTTTCATCATCACTGCTTCCTTGTACTGTTTGATGGAGCAGCCAAGCTCACTAATTAATGGGTGGTGCAATGGGCTCACTTGAATTTGCATATATATGGTTGTCGACTTGCCGTTGTGATAGTATTTTCAGATCATTTCGCATGTGACGGAGTCTTGGCCGTCGGCGACACGATGAGTTGGTGTGGTTCCTACTTGCTGTTGAAGTTCAAGTTCTGCAATTATGACGACTTCCTTGCCCCGCAACAGGTGCATAGCACGCCGACGAGTGACGACCCTGCTCAACGTTGCTGGTGCCCTTCCGACGAAAAATCCAACTTCTAGTTCTAGGAAAGATTCTTTCATCAAGTCTCGTCATTAGTGGAACAATTAGAAATTTATCCAACGTAGTGCCAATGTGACGTGTTTTCATATTCCGAGTAGTTTCTAAAACAGATTGATCGGCGACCGTAACTATAACGGTACTAAGGTAGCGAAATTCCTTGTCGGGTAAATTCCACTATGTAAATTATGACGAATGTTACTCTTAAGATAATCCATCGAATAATCATTCATGAGTTCATTTAGGGGTGGCTATACTGTTCGGTCCGGTTAAACTGGCCCAAATTAATGCAGTCCCGGTCCGATCTCATACAGTTCGATTTTGACCCGATCTGGTCTTATCCGATCCCTGTCCCAACCCGGTTTTGACCCGGACTAACCAAAGAAATAATACAAATATTATAATCGAATCAATGATGATCTAAACTAACATCTGAACATTTAAAGTTTCAAATGATGGGTTAATGGATTCAAGTAGCGTGTGAGCACTCTTGTGCATATTTTTTGGGATTCCGATTTCGAGTTAAACTGAAAAATCCGTACCAAACCGTCGTTCCTAATTTTATCACTCAATATTGTATTGTACATTGTTCAGTGCATTGTGTACTCTTTAAACACTTACAATGGCAACCGGTAACAACAACCAACAGGCGCTAGTTTTGAGTTTTCATTTATATTAAACTCAATTGCATAATTAACTAATTAGAAGTTAAGTATAAGGTAAAAAAAAATTGTTTTTTATATTTGTTTACAATAATAGGAAAATTTTGTGTTCAATCAACAATTTTGAAGTTGTACCTTTAACGTTATGGTATAACTTCAGATTGTACCTATACTATTTTGTCAAATTGTTTTATGGTACAACTTAAACTTGTACTTTCATTTGATGGTACAAGTTTAAGTCATAAAGTTGTATCATAATATAAGAGCACAAATTCCTTTATGGTACAACCTGAACTTATACATTTAACGTTATGGTACAATTTTAAATTATATATTAAAGCACCAATACTTTATAACATAGTAGAAGTGCTCCACCTTTTAGCCTAAGATAGTACAAATTACCTCCCTTGGCCTTAAGTGGCGTCACAACTGCTCGTAATACTTACAAGTATAACAAACCTAGACATCTTGTATCATGACGTGTCAGGAATTTGACTAGTACTTGATTGACTTGTATGAATTTTATTTCTTGTGGAATAGGATTTTTTCCGAAGTACTGTAGATTTATTAGAAATTTTCCATGTATACATGTTTAGTCCAAATTGCTTGAAGTGTTGAGTTATGAGTTTTTATGTATGGGCTTTAGCCCACTGTACATTGTACACTAGTAGTCATAGGCCTAGTTGATAGTAACCCTAATTTGGTCGCCAATACTCTCCTATCTCGGCTATGGATAGGATTAACATATATATTGTACCTCGAACCTGCATTGAAGCTAAGTTAATACGAGAGTTGATAGCTTCGGCCGTGGACTAGTCTTGATCATACCGATCAAGGAAACCACGTAAATACTTGTGTGATTTCGTTTCTAGCTTGATCAATCTTTGCTACGATAAGTTAACATGGTATCAGAGCTCACCAGTTCGGATTCTGATCGTGAGTTGCTGCAGGAACGAATGGGCGATGTTGATAATCCCGGTTCTAGCGGTGGTCGTATTGGCCGTTATGATAATTCTCGTGGACGATCTCGTTCAGCTTATGCTGCTACGCCTGCTCCCCCTTCAGATGGTGTTCTTGTCACTCCTGCTGCTCTAAAAAATATGGTGAACAAGGCCATCTCATCTGCTTTTGCCAGTCTTCAGGTCACAGGTAAATTTCGAAAATGGATTATCGACTCTGCTTGTTTTAATCACATGACTGGCGATCGTTGTATTGTTAAAAGGGTACAACCAGTAGATGGTCTTTCGTTACAAGTAGCTAATGGCAATAAACTTCAGATTTCTGGTGTTGGGTCGGTTAATGATGATCATGTTCGGCTGCCTAGTACATTTCATGTTCCTAATTTGGTGCCTAATTTGATTTCGGTGGGCCAACTTACTATACAAGGTTGCCGGGTTACTTTTGCACCTTCTGGTTGTGTTGTACAGGACATGAAGACGGGGAGGGAGCTCGGGAAGGGTAGCAAACATGGTCGGATCTTCTTGATGGATGAGCTCGTCACATCATCTCCTTGTTCTTTGTCGGCTTCTGATTTGGTGTCTAGGGTACCATCATTTCCTGTCTTTTCGAGTCTTAGTGATCAAAAATTTCAGTTGTGGCATGCTAGATTGGGACATCCCAACTCCGGTAGACTTGTAACCATGTTTTGTCAACAGCTTTTTGGCTCAACTACTAAATTTGATCGGTTGTCGGAGTTTACTTGTCAAAATTGTGTTCAAGCCAAAATAACCCGGATCTCCTTCCCTTCGAGCACTATAGTTATTACCGAGCCTTTTCATCTTATACATACTGATCTTTGGGGACCTAATCCGGTGACTTCAAGACATGGCTATAAGTACTTTGCATTGTTTATCGATCATGCCACTCGTTTTACATGGGTGTACTTTCTTCGTCTCAAATCCAATCTTTTGCCCATTGCTACTGAATTTTTGTAGATGATTAAGACTCAATTTGATAGAACTGTATGGGCTTTAGCCCACTGTACATTGTACACTAGTAGTCATAGGCCTAGTTGATAGTAACCCTAATCTGGCCGCCAATACTCTCCTATCTCGGCTAGGGTTAGGATTAACATATATACTGTACCTCGAACCTGCATTGAAGCTAAGTTAATACGAGAGTTGATAGCTTCGGCCGTGGACTAGTCTTGATCATACCGATCAATTGGGTGATTTCGTTTCTCGCTTGATCAATCTTCGCTACGATAAGTTAACATGAAAGACATTGATCGCTAATAACCAAAACGATCATGGACAAATAGCTTCCCGCTAAAGCTATATTTCTATGATTCTATCTTCGCTTTAGTCGAAGAGATCAACATGCAGACCACTTGTGTCTAAAAACGACACCTTGTATACCTAAAAATATTAGACGACAATAACTTTGCGTTCGATTATGGGATCAAAACAAAAAAAATGTTTCACATAATTTTTTGAAATCTTCACAGCCATAAACTGCCTGAAAAATGTGTGGAGAGAGCGCGGTTGCAGAACTCATGATGCTGTGATCTGTAATCCCAGCGTGTTGATTAGAAGAATTGAAGATGAAGTTAAATGGCTGCTTGCTGCAAAGCCTTAGCTGAAGTGAATGATGCATAGATAGAAGTTTTGTTTTTGTCTTGTCCATTGAGCTATTGCCATTGCTTTATTGTTTGTACTTGGAGAGAGGTTAGAAGTTTGCAACCATAGAGCTTAATGAAATTTTTTGATTACCCATAAAAAAAAACAAACTGCCTGAAAAGGCAAAAACTACCAAAGGTTGGATCAACCCCCGACTTCAAATAAGGCCGTTTGTTGCCACAAATTGCTCATTTTGTGATTTTGCATAACTTTAGAAGGTCTTAACTCGTCATCAGGTCATCACCAAAATGTTTTTGGCATAACTTTTCAGGTATTACACTTTTTTATAGACATATTTGTAGAATATATGTAGAAAAGTGAAAAATAAATCTAAAGTTTCTCAAACCTCTAAACTAAAAAAACATGCTCGAAAAGTTTTGCAAAATACAAAAAAATTGTGATGATCGAATAACAGAGCACAATGACCAATGAAAGTTTAAAGCTACAAAGATCTCAAAAAGTTATGCATGTTAATAAAAAGTGATATATTCTTGATCGACTTTACTAGGAAGCAATCAATATCCAAACATGTATAGTTTGAAGATTTCTCATAAAACTACTTACTTTATGTTGATAATCCATTATTGTAATTTGAAAAAACAATCATATGGAATATCTTTTAAAAAAAAATTCTCCCAACAAAACTTTGATGCCATTTCCCATTGATGCTGATACTTATTTTATTTTAATGTGAAGTACGTGGAATCATCAGTACTCACACAAACACAAAAAACATATGCGAATTGCGAATCAAACAACCATCGCTATTCATTTTCCTTTTTCCATTATTTTCCCAGCAACTGGATCTCCTTTTCCCATTCCAAATAAGAAAAAGAAAGAAATGTTATTAAAAAAAATGTTATTAAAAAAAAAAGGAAAGAAAGAAAGAGCTTCTTCTTGTTTTTCTCGCCACTGCTCTCTCCCTCCAATCACCTCATCCTATATTAGTATATTACCAGCTTTTCCCGGAGGTTCACTCTGTACTCTACCCTCCACTCTACTGAAGAAAAACCCAATAACGATTCCCACAAAAATCAGTGCAAAGAGAAGGAGAAAATGACCACAAAGCCCCACGCCGTGCTGGTGCCGTTTCCGGCGCAAGGCCACCTGAGCCCATTCCTCCAGCTAGCCAAGCTCCTCCACTCCCGCGGATTCCACATCACCTACGTCAACAACGAGTTCAATCACAACCGCCTCCTCCAATCCAAGGGCGAGGACTTCGTCAACGGGCTGCCCGATTTCAAGTTCGTGTCTTTCCCCGACGGTCTCCCTCCCTCCGACGAAGATGCGACCCAGAGCCTTGACGGGCTCAGCAGCGCGGCCCGGAAGACGATGTTGGGCCCGTTTAGGGAGCTGGTGGCGAAGCTCAACGCTTCCCCTGACTCGCCGCCGGTGAGCTGCATCATCCCCGATGGGTTCATGTGCTTCGGCCTCAAAGCCGCCGAGGAGTTGGGGATTCTCGGCGTCCCCTTTTGGACCGCTTCCGCTTGTGGGTTCAAGTCCTATTTCCACTACGTGGAACTCATTGAGAAAGGACTGATTCCTCACAAAAGTAAGCTTTCTAGTTAACTTTTTCCTTCTTTTTGGCTTTGATTGGATACAGAGTACTCTGTTCTTTTTTTTTTTTTTGTCCTGGCTCCGATAACTTTCCTTCTGGGGTGATAACAAATGTACATCAGACCCTGCAAAATCAAACGCCCAAATCTTTGAGCTCAGTGCTTTAGATCTGAATATGGAAGTGAAATTGATTAGTTGGGTCGACAACCTTGAGAGACATTTTTACTGCTCAAGTACTATTTACCTTTTTTTATGACAGTGACACGATATTATAGATTAAGGTATATGAGAAATCTTGACTGAGTATATATTATCTTAGTGATTAGTTACGAAATGTGATTGACCCGAATTCAGTCACTTGTTTGATGATGAAAGAGTAATGTTTAGAGTATGTAAGTCAAACGATTATGTCACACAACTTGCGAATTGCCGCGCAGGTGAGACATTCGAGACTGACGGCACACTAGAGACGCCAATCGACTGGATGCCAGGGCTAAGAGACATGCGACTATACGACCTCCCTTACTCCACACGCACCACCTCGCCGGACGAGATCCTGCTCAACTGCCTCCGCGACGAGACGCAGGAGTGCGTCAGGGCGGCGGCCATCATCATGAACACGTTCCACGACTTCGAGCAGGAGGTCCTGGACGCAATCAAGGCCATCAACCCAAACGTCTACTGCATCGGCCCGCTGAACCTCCTCGAAGCCCGCGTCCCGGCCGACGACACCTCGAGAGACTTGACCGTCAGCCTGTGGAAGGAAGACCCGAGGTGCTTCGAGTGGCTCGACAAGCAGAAGCCGGGGTCCGTCGTCTACGTCAACTACGGCAGCATCGCCAAGATGTCGGAGGGGCAGTTCCGGGAATTCGCCTGGGGGCTAGCCACTTGCGGGCATCCGTTTATATGGGTCGTCAGGACTGACGTCATGAGGGCGAACGCTGCCGTTTTGACGGAGGACTATTATAAGGAGATTGAGGACAGGGCGTTGATTGTGACTTGGTGCCAGCAGGAGCAAGTGCTGGCTCATGAAGGCGTGGGGCTGTTTTTCACTCACGCCGGCTGGAACTCGACGCTGGAGACGGTGATCGCTGGGAAGCCGGTGATCTGCTGGCCGTTTATCGCGGAGCAGTCGACGAATTCGAGGTACTTGTGTAAGGTTTGGGATGTGGGTGTGGAGGCTAGCCATCATGTTACGAGGGGGGAGATTGTGGAGCTGATTAAGGAGATGTTGGAGAGTGAGAGGGGGAAGGAGAGGCACAGCAAGGCTTTGGAGTGGAAGGAAAAGGCCGTGGCTGCGGCGGAAGTTGGTGGGTCGTCGTACAAGGACTTTGATCGTTTGATTGCTGAGGTTTTTCACCATTAATGATTGATCGATTGAAAAAATGATGGAGGGAGTGGTATGTTGAGTTTTTGTTAATTTTTTGGTTAAGTTAATTGCATCAGAATAAATGTCCCCTGTTGTTGAAATCTTCACTTTGACTAGTTGTGTACTCAATTGTTGATGACATCACTTATGAGTCATCGTACAAGGATTTGTATGTGGCGTTTTGTACTTTTTTTTTGGTGATGGAATAAATGTTACCTGCCGTTGGCATGAAGCTCCGCTTTGAACTGCTTGTTTACTCAACTACTTAATCACAAACTTACTTCACTTGTGGCTTCAAGTAAATGACACTGGTTCAACGTCTATGGTTTCACCAAAAGTCACTGACCATTTTTCACAGCGATAATTTCCTCTTCTCACTTGCAAATTGCAATCGACAGTTAGCCATGGCAAGTTAGCAACATATAGGTTATTTTTTGCTCTGCCATAAAAGAGGGCTCAAGAGCCCATTACCTCAGCATCAAGATTCAAGAGCATCATAAATGACAGAAGGTGGACGACAGTGCCATCCCATCCAGAAACAAACATGGGCCAAACAGTGGGCACACAATTCGTCTCTTCTGGAGCAAAAGCCCAATCATGAACCCGGCTTGTTTTGTAGGGGGACACGCAAAATTATCTGTTCACAAAATCTCCCTCATATAATATTGTAAGCTAAGCCCACACTAGAGCCGTCAAATGATATTTGGAGGCCCTGTTCGAAAATTTAACATGTGGTCCCTAATTTTTTTCACAATAAATTTATTAAAAATAAAAATTATTAAATAATTATAAAGTACATAAGTTCAGAAAATAATTTTAAAATGAATAAACAATCTCGCTTCCAGTTTGACCAAGAAACCAAGACCAAATTCTCACTCCTAGCAGGGAGGGAGAAAAGTAAATCTGGAGCGAACATAAAATGGATATAGAGCAAAAATTGAATGGAAAAATGAAAAATAATATAAATTGATCGAGAGGTGGGTGCGGGTCTATCTAATGGATCGTGTAGGCCCTATTCCAAAATTGAGACATGATCCAATTTGACTTTTAACTATAATAAAACTAAAATGATTATAATACTATTATTCAAAATATAATATCTTTCTTTATTGTTTAAATTAAAATTATCTATTATCTCTCTGATTTTCATATTCTCCATGAGATCCTTTTCAAATGTTATTATAGCTAAAATTATCTATTAAATTCGTCATCATGTTCATAATCTACCAATCATACACTAAAAAAACAACCTGCAATATTCGATCGGTAACTACCGAATCTAAGTGGAGGCCCCTAATATTCGGAGGCCCTGTGCCGGAGGGCGGGCCGGCACACCGTCTTGGCCGGCCCTGGCCCACACCATATACAAAATAAATTGAAGGTGGCATGGCAAATTATAAGCATTTCTACTATGCTATATAGTATTGATGCTTTAATTTACAACTTGAAGTTGTATCATAACATTAAATGTATAAGTTTAGGTTGTACCATAAAGGAATTTGTATCATTATGTTATGGTACAATTTTAGGAAAAAATCCCAAAGTACACTAGTTCTTACAAAAAATTCCCAAAATACATGTGTTATAAAAAAAATTCCAAAAGTACACATGTTTGAGCATCACCGTTTTAAACTAAAACGGTGATGTATTCACCGTTTCAAACTAAAACGGTGAAGGGTTCACCGCGTTTGTTAAGAACGGTGAATACCTCACCGTTTTAAACAAAAACGGTGAAGCCTTCACCGTTTTAGACTTCCACGGTGAAGGCGCTGACGTGGACTAACGCGGGGTATTCACCGCGTTAGACAAACACGGTGAATACCCGTGTTTGTTTGCGTCAGCGATCCGCGTCGCTGGCGCGTTCACCGTGTCCGTAGGATGCGGTGAGGCGCGGATCGTGGTTTTCTTTCCAGATCCGACGCCTCACGCTGAGCCACGTCGCTCGATCCGCGCCTCATCACCGTGTTCGAGAAACGCGGTGAAGGCTGGGAGAATTCAATTCTCGGCAGATCCCTTCCCCCCTTCCCCCAACTATAAATAACCCTTCCCCTTTCACTTTCAACTCACACCACAAACATTTCACTTCTTTCTCCATCAATTTATCCGCTCTAGTCTCGTTCTAAGTATGCTCTGTGGTTGCGGCTAAGTCCGATCTTCCACATCAGAAAGAATTACTAGAGTTTGACCCTAAAGCCCCCGTCCCGCTAAGTTCCCGTCCCTTACAAACCTAAACCCGTCGAACCTCTGTCCGGCTTCCGCCAATAATGGACGAAGAGGCTCTTCGTGTAGGTTTTTGGTTTATGATTTTTTTTAATCGAAACAATTTGATTTTTTTTTATCAAAACAATCTCTGATTTCATTACTTTTTTATAGATGGGTGCCGAGATATACGATCCTCGATTGTATATCCATTATGGCCCAAGGGATGCGAGTCTCTTAACCGATCAAGAAGCTCATCGCTCCCGTGCCATTTGGGATAACAATCCGGTAATTTGATGAACTGACTTGCTTTATTTTATTATTTTCTAATGTTTTATTTTGCTTTATTTAATCTAATAAATTGATGTTTTTCCTATTTTTTTTAGGAATCTCTTGTTCCCGTGGTTCATAAAGGGACCAATAACTTGCCCGCTTGGCATCCAAGGTTGGAGCCCTATATAGCGAGGACCGGTTTGGGAATGTTGCGCCATTTCTTGCGGATCGAGATCGACAACGATCTGCTTATGGCAATGGCGGAACGATGGCGTCCCGAAACCCATACATTCCACCTTCAGGAGGGGGAAATGACGATCACCCTCAAAGACGTGGCGATCCTCATTGGGCTTCCTATATCTGGAGATGCCATCATTGGTTCCACGACCAAACCCGGAGGAGGTTGGGGGCCGCTCATCCGTGATCGTTTGGGCTTCGACATGCCGACCACCACACCAAATCAAGGACGGGGGCATCCACCGTTGAATGCGGGGCAAGTGTCGGTCCCGTGGCTGGTATCTCACATCCAGCAAGAGGTGGAAATCAATGACGAGACACCGGAAGAACAAGTCGAGCGCTACGCCCGCATCTACCTCATCGGTTTGGTGGGTGGATTTTTGTTCCCCGACAAGTCCAACCGGTGGATTCAAGGCATATGGTTGCCATTGCTCACCGGTGACTGGGATGCAATTGGAGAGAAGAGTTGGGGATCGGCCGTGCTACCGGGCGTATACCGGGAGCTGTGTACTTGCTCGAAGGTTGGGGCAAAGCAAGCTGGTGCTGCGATGTTCATCGTTCAACTGTGGGTATGGGAGCATCTTCCAATGTTCGCACCTCTCGACCCACGTCCATACCGGAGAAACGATGATGAGCTCAACCTTCTGCAAAATCTCCCCTACGGTGTCAAGTAAGTTTATTTCGTACTTAGCCCAATTTAAATTTTATTACATGCTTGAGCTAGATTTAAATTGAATTTATTCCGTACTTAGCCCAATTTAAATTTGATTACATTAGCTAGATTTAAATTGAATTTATTCCGTACTCAGCCCAATTTAATTTTGATTACATGCTTAACTAGATTTAAATTGAATTTATTCCGTACTTAGACCAATTTAATTTATTATATGCTTAGCGATATTTCAATTAAATTGATTCCGTACTTTTACTTACAAGGTGGATAGGAGCAAATACGAATGACCATCAACCTGAGCATTCGTTACTGTTTTATCGTTCTGAGTTAGATAAACCATGGTGGAATCAGGTAATCATGTTTTGTCCATATTTGAACAAGTTCAATTTTATCAAAGTAAATGGTCGTTAATTCCGAATTTTTGAATGAATATAGGTTATATGGGATCCATATCCACGTGAAGTGGTTGAGCTGCATCATCTTAGGCACCCTCTGGATCACGAGACGTGGTTGTGCAAGGTGCCATTGATCTGCTGGCACATTGTGGAATGGCACCTACCCGATCGATCCCTGAGGCAATATCGAATGGAGCAACCAATTCCACAAGACCCGCCAGCAGGTTTCAGGGAGCTACATGCTATGGACCTCCGAAGTGGTTGAGCTGCATCATCGTATCGTTAAAGTAACTTTTGCGTACTAAAAACTAAAAAGCGCGTATCTTATTCGTTTGAGGTCGAAATAACGAGCCGTTTGCGGCAGCGCGATCGTATCAACAAGGAAAACATTTTAGAGTTAACAAAATACTTGGAATTCAAATGCAAACGGTAATGAAAAATTAAACAAGCGATCAATTTAGTAGCAGAATACAAGTAAATGCAAATTAAGTTGATGGTTGTCCTGGGCAACGCCTCTTGTCGTGACCAGGTTGTCTGCACTTAGAGCATCGCTTCGGTCCCCTTCTCGTCCGTTCAACTTGATCCATCTCATTGTGTATCCTTTCAACTCTAGGACGGCCTTTGGTGCGTTTTAGGTGCAACGGTGGGATAATCAACTTTCCAGCGTATATAGGCCAATACGCTTCATCTGGCATGGGGCTCAAAGCTGCATTATATGAGTTCCGTATCGCTTGTCCAGTGTAGTAAGGACTCACCAGGCTGTTTCTGTTCATGGTTATTGACTTAGCAACCGCCATTGCATGTGAACAGGGTATCCTTTCGTTCTGATACTTTTGACAAGAACACTCCCCTAATTCGTAGTGCAATTTAACCGTTTGACGATTGTGACCACGTCTCCCTCCACCCCATATACCTGTTTCGACAGCGAATATTCCTTCACTGCGGTTAAAAAGAACAACCTTATGCTTACTTGATTTTTCATCGTTCTTCTGCATTTGAGCGAATACGTCATGTGCTACTGAATGACCTTGCAACTCCCTCCCTATAGCTAGCTGTAGCCGAGCAACTCGCCACTCGTTGACCTTCCAATAAGACATTTCCACGATGACAGAAATAGGCATCGCTCGAAGACCCTTGTACACATTATTTATACTTTCTCCATGGTTGGTAGTTGCAATACCCCATCTGGCCCCGTTGTCCATATGGAACGTCCACATGGGCAACTCTTGACCTTCAGCCCATACTGCTCCAGCTCGGTGGGTCTGACGGATCGTTTTCATCTTCTGCTCATACTTTTTTGGTTGATGTGCAACCGCTAAAAGGTGAACAAAAGACTAACTGGTCAATACATGATGAATAACATAAGCTTATCAGCTTAATAAACACAAACTTAAATCGCATAAGAAAAACATTAGTACCTGCATTCCAAAGTAGATTTTTGATGTCTTTCTTCTTCCCAAATTTGTGTTGGAAATTGGCGAGCCAGTGTCGAATACACCATCTCCATCTCCACCCCCACTCGTCGGGAAAACCACCAACA